CATTTTTTTGTAGAGAAGAGGTTTCTCCATGTTGCCCAGGCTGGTCTTGAACTCATGAGATCAAGCAGTTGGCTGGGTGTGGTGGCTCACGCCTGTAATCCTAGCACTTTGGGAGGCTGAGGTGGGTGGATCACCTGAGGTCGGAGTTCAAGACCAGCCTGGCCATCATGGTGAAACCCCATCTTTAAAAAAAAAAAAAAAAAAAAAAAGGAGATCAAGAAATCTACTGACCTCAGCCTCTCAGAGTGCTGTGATTACAGGTGTGAGCCATGGACCCGGCAACAGCAGGCTATTAATAGTTAAATTCTGGGGGAGTCAAAAGTTATATGTGGATTTTTGGCTCACTACACAGGGTTTCTCGCCCATAATTCCAACGTTGTTCAGGGGTCAAGTTATTTTATTTTTGGTTTTTGTTTTTAGGATCTGTCACACAGGCTGGAGTGCAATGGCACTATCATAGCTCACTGTAACCTTGAACTCCTGGGCTCAAATGATCCTCCTGCCTCAGCCTCCCGGAACGCTGGAATTACAGGCCTGAGCCACCGGGCCCAGCCTCAATATTTTAAAAAACCATTCTTTCATTAATAAAATTATCCCAACTTTTTAATATTCATGAAAACATATGTATTGAGGTTTTTGTTGTAAGTTGAACAAGGTTTAATTTGCACATTTGTTTAACCTGAACACACTGTATTATATGTTCTGCAGCTTGCTTCTTCCTTCTAACAATAAATCATGGATATCTGTCTCTTCTTATTTGACGATTCTTTGTCCTTGTACTTGCGTGACTCTTGGAGCGTCAGCTTTCTGCCTGCCTTTCCTCCTCCCGGGATTTTGAGGACGCCTGGCTTCGCGGGGTGCCGGGCTGCGGGAGGTCTCTGCCGGTGGGTGGGGTCCGGGGCCTCCCGAGACATGTAGATGAGGTGGGCGGGGCCCTACTCGAAACCGCTGGTAGCCCTGGGCCGACGCGCCCAGCCTGGAAGTGTTCAGTCAGAGGAAGCCAGTGGAACCTGCTTTCTCAAGCGCAGCGAAGCCGGGTCCCGGACTGGCCCCTCTGCTGCCCCCGGAGCGGGCTATGCCGCCGCGGGAGCTGAGTGAGGCTGAGCCTCCCCCGCTCCGGGCCCCGACCCCTCCTCCGCGGCGGCGTAGCGCGCCCCCAGAGCTGGGCATCAAGTGCGTGCTGGTGGGGGACGGCGCCGTGGGCAAGAGCAGCCTTATCGTCAGCTACACCTGCAATGGGTATCCTGCGCGCTACCGGCCCACGGCTCTGGACACCTTCTCCGGTACGTACGTTCAACTGCCCGGGCGGCGGCGGGGCTGTGCACTCGGGAGCTGGGGCGGGCGTCGCGGCGGGAGGGCGCAGAGGACCCCGGGGAGGAGGCGGGAGCAAGCCCGGAGGTGGCTCTGGTGCGGCCCGGGGCGCTCTTCGTAACTCAGGCTCTCCCCGCCCCGCCCCTGCAGTGCAAGTCCTGGTGGATGGAGCTCCGGTGCGCATTGAGCTCTGGGACACAGCGGGACAGGTGAGAAGCTGGGCGCAGCCTCTACTGGTCTGCGGGGAGGTGGGCTGGAGGCTGGGAGGACTCCAGATGGAACAAGAATGGAGAAAGCCTTGGGCTCTTGAAGTCTCAGTTTCCAGCCCCAGGTGAGAAATGGATTCCGTGTGGCGGGAGACTAATCCTAACGACCGGGCCTTCCCACCCCAGGAGGATTTTGACCGACTTCGTTCCCTCTGCTACCCGGATACGGATGTCTTCCTGGCATGCTTCAGCGTGGTGCAGCCCAGCTCCTTTCAAAACATCACAGAGAAATGGCTGCCCGAGATCCGCACGCACAACCCCCAGGCGCCTGTGCTGCTGGTGGGCACCCAGGCCGACCTGAGGGACGATGTCAACGTACTGATTCAGCTGGACCAGGGGGGCCGGGAAGGCCCAGTGCCACAACCCCAGGCTCAGGGTCTGGCCGAGAAGATCCGAGCCTGCTGCTACCTGGAGTGCTCAGCCTTGACGCAGAAGAACTTGAAGGAAGTATTTGACTCGGCCATTCTCAGTGCCATTGAGCACAAAGCCCGGCTGGAGAAGAAACTGAATGCCAAAGGTGTGCGCACCCTCTCCCGCTGCCGCTGGAAGAAGTTCTTCTGCTTCGTTTGAGCAGCTATGGCTGCATAGCAAGTGGTAGGCAGGCCAGAGACTTCTGGGACCTGGGGCACCAGGGCCTTTGCGGGAGCTACTGGCAGAGCCTGGCGGCCTCATGGGACTCAGTTCCCTTCCGAACAGTCAGGGGACATGGGCCTCTAACTGCCCACTATGATATGCCCCAGTGAGCCTAGGAGGGAATGCTCTGATTTGGATTTCTCCAGTCAAAGCTCACAGAAAAAGCCTGGCACTTTGATTTTCATGGGATGGTCCTAATAGGGTCAGTCACCTCCTAGCAGTTTGGGATCCAGTTCCCAGTTTCTTATCCTGGGCCCTCAGGTCAGCCTGTCTGAATTAGGATTCTTCCTTGGCTCAGGGGTGAGGAAGAGCTTGGGAAACTCCCGGCATTGTGGAGGGCTGGAAGGGGTTCAGCCCTGATTTGGAAAGAAGTTTGGGATGGGGTGGGCGAGAGATTGAGAAGACAGAGCAGGAAGGGAGGCCTTGGAACTGTGGGACTGATGGTAGATAAGGGCTGGGCCTGGAAGGAAGATGACAAGGAGGAGGAGAGAGGGAAATGGGGCAGATGAGGAGCAGGCTGACACCTGGGCCGCCCTCAACCCCCAAGGCCGGGGAGGGCGGGGCTGGCCCTGGGAAGAACTGGGTCTCTGGGCTCCCTAGGCACTGCCCAAACTGGCTGGGCCAGGAGTGGGGCAGGAAGTGAGAGTCAAGACCCAGCAAAAGGAGGGGGAGGAGCTGCAAATTAGAGCCTGAAGCAGGATGGAGTTGAGGATCATCCCTTTCCTCAAGGGCACACAGCCTAGAAGCAACAGCAGTTCAGAGTCTGCAAATAAAACCTTAAGTCTGTGAAGCTGTGCGTTGTCTCTGTCATTTCCTGGAGCCCAGTGCTCCCTCACAACCCTCCTCAAGGCCCAGCTGCCTGGCTAGAGACAGACTGGGTACCAAAGGACTGAGACTGGATTGAAGGGTGGGGGCTGGACGGGGGGTGAGGACAGTGTGATGGGAACTGAACTGGGTGGGTAGGTGTGGGGCTTTCCACTTGGGATTCAGCTGGTTCCCAGGAGAGCTAGCGTGGGAAGCAGCCTGGAAACGGGTTTCCCCAGGTGTCAGCTCCAGAGCTGGTTTCCCATGACCTCACCTGGTGGGTGGAGCCCCTCCCCTCCACCCCTCCTTTCTAGAGCACGGTGCTCAGCACTGGGGTTCAAGGTCAGTCCCCAGCCTTCTAACTTTTCTGCTCTGTTCCTTCTAGCAGTTAACAGGGCCCAAGGGCTCAGGTTGGGGGACCATCCCCCCCACCTCCATTCATAGCCTGAACATAGAGGGAACCCATACAATCTAAACTTCAATCACTGGCCAACATTCTTAGACTCGGGTTGAACCCAGTCTTCAGCCGTGCCACCTAAGGACCTAGTGAAAGTCAGGGTGCTGGTTGTGAGCAACTTAAATAGGGGTTTGGCTCCAGAAATCCTGTGCAAGTGCAGGTTCATTGGGAGAGGACTTGGAGAGGAGCAGGGATCCGGAGAACATTCCCTCGTCTTGGAGCTTGAAGGAACTCTGAAGGGCACCCAGGGGGAAAATGAAAGAAAATGAAAACTTACTTTACCATAAGGAGACTGAGAGCCAGACAGAAAAGGTAATAGCTTCAGTGATATGTATCATCCAGTGACTGTAAGAGCACTTGGCACTAGAGTTGGGTACAGGGGTATGTGTTACTCTGGGAGAGGAATTTCTAAGGCACACCTGGCACACCTGCTAGGCAGCTGCTGGGTCAGGTGAACTCTCATGCCCTGGTCCAGCCCACCTCTGGGCCCAGCTCCCTCTGTAGGAAGCTACAGCTGTGTGTGTGTGTGTGTGTGTGTGTGTGTTCTAGCTCTGTGTGTGTATGTGTGTGTGAAAGCGCATGGCTGAGAGACAGGAATCCTAGCCAAGTGAAACCTCAGTTAATCCCCAAGTTTAGTTTTAGCCAAGACTGTCCGCTTCCTGCCCCACCAGGGCCTGTCCCCAGAGCTCCCAGCCACCTGGAGCTCCTTTTGTCCCCTTGCCCCCTCAGGTGGAGTTGCTGAGGGTCTCACACCCCAGTAGCATGGCCTGTTGTTACCTCAACCCAGCCTGACACATTCCCCTCAGGGGCAGAGACCTGGGTTCAGGTTCAGACTCTGACACCAACCATGACCTTAGGCAAATCATTTCCCTTCTCAATGCCTCAGTCTTCATTTGAAATATGAAGTACTCAGGACTCAGACTGGCTTTGAGGTTCCTAAATTTGTTCTGAGGGGCCTTGGAGGTGCCTTGGGGTAGGGGAGGAAGCCTAATCAGGTTATCCTTGGACCACCCCCCGCCTCCACCTCCAACTTCTTCCCTAATTCTCCCTTGTGGTACCAGTATATCCATGTCACCCAAATAGAAACCTCGGTCACCATGCCTCCTCTCACTGGCTCTCCAAGTCTGGTCGGGACCTCTGTCACCCACACCCTAACGTCCCTGCCACTGCGGCTCCCCATTCCGATCTGTCCTGTGCTGCTGCCTCTACTCTGGCACACCCCAACTCAAGACTCAACACTGTTACTGGCTCTCACTGTTGATGATGAACTTGCAGCTCCTCATTTCAGCATTCGAAGCCCTCTGAAATCTGACAGCACCCTGGACTAGGCCGGTTTGCCCCAGTAATCCCCCGCTATCTCCTGACTCGGCCTCCCAGTCTTGGCTTTTGCCAAATCCCTTAGTTTGGAAAATGCCCCCTGCCACCTCCCAGAAGCCCTGTTTCTCCTCAGGATAACCAGCTTTCAATACCTCCCTCCTCCAGAAATGACGCTTCCCTGTATCCGTGTCGTCACTGCTCCCTTGGCGCACTGAGGATGCTCAGCGTTCTGGCTGCATCTTTCCAGCTAAATGAAGAGAGAGAGGGAAAGCCTCATTTAAGTCCCTATTGCTCCCAAAAGGGCTGGGACTCAGGCAATGTTTGCTGTTGACCCCGAAATGCTTAGGAATAAAAAGCCCTGGAGGAGACTGTGAGGATCAAGTTCAGCTCCAGATTTGGAGCCTGAAGACTGAGCCTAAGGTCAGTGGCTTTCCAGAAAGGATCTCTAAGACTCTGGGCCCAAGTCTGTGCAGAGCAAGAAGGATTCACCTCTGCTTCCAGATCCACTGGTTCTCTCTGGTTCTGTCTGTTTTTCTCCAGAATACGGTGTCTACTTTTCTGTGATAGTTTTTTCATTTGTATCTCTCTGTCTCTGTTTCCTTGGCCTCTTTTCCCTTCTCTCTGCTCTTTTAAATCTATATTTAAAGGAATATTTATTATATTAATTGGATAAAATTATACGTTTCTTACATATGCATTCTTACATATGTCCTTATTAATGTAAATTGCCTTTAATGTCTGTGTAACCCTTAGCTGATTTTTTTCAAAAGTGGAGTCTCAGTCTGTCACCCAGGCTGGAGTACAGTGGCACAATCTTGGCTCACTGCAACCTCCAGCTCCTGGGTTTAAGTGATTCTCCTGCCTCAGCCTTCCAAGTACCTGGGATTACAAGTGTCCACCACCACACCCAGCTAATTTTTTGTTTTTTGGGGGTTTTTTTTGCAATGGAGTCTTGCTCTATTGCCCAGGCTGGAGTACACTGGCATGATCTCTGCTCACTGCAACCTCCGCCTCCCGGGTTCAAAGGATTCCCCTACCTCAGTCTTCCAAGTGGCTGGGATTACAAGCATGTGCCGCCACACCTGGCTGAGTTTTGTATTTTTAGCAGAGACAGGGTTTCACCATGTTGGTCAGGCTGGTCTCTAACTCCTGACCTCAAGTGATCCACCCACCTCGACTTCCCAAAGTGCTGGGATTGCAGGCATGTGCCGTGGCACCCAGCGGTTTTCCATTTTTTTGAGACAGGGTCTTGCACTGTCACCCAGCCTGGAGTGCAGTGGTGTGAACATGGCTTACTGCAGCCTGGTACTCAGGCTGCGATGTGGGTTGGTGCCCGGCTTAAAACTTACCTTGTAGCCTTCAGCATGTGACCGCAATTCTCCGTGCCTCAGTTTCCTCATCTATGAAATGGAGGTAACAGGGTCACCAGCATTGTGGGGAGTGATGGAGGTGGAGAGCCTAGGATGTCGCCCAGTGCTACAGGAGCCAGCAAGCACAGCACTTTGGGGACCAGAGGACACCATGCCAGTGGCTTGCCCGACATCTCCCCACCCCTTCCGGCCGAGGAGGCGTCCTGCTCAGGTACTGAAAGAGGATTGCTGTGGGTCAGGGGCTGCTCTTTCTCAGACAGGGCGCAATGAATGAGATGGACAAACCCACACCTCCCAAGGATCCCTGTCTAGGAAGGAACACAAAGCCCTGGTGCCACCCTCTGTCACCTGGTTCATCACAGTAGCCTAGAATACACCTTCCCGCTGGCACCTGGCCTACCACACGAGTCAGTTCTAACACACCAGCCAATGTGATTCTGTAACACCTGAGTTGAGACCCATCGAGGCCGTGTTCCGAACCCTCAACAGATCTCAACTCAGCCAGCTGCAGTCTGAGGCTCGTCACGGGGCCAGGGGCCTCCCGAGCCAACCCCACCTGCCCCTCCCTGTTGCTCCTTCCCCTCCAACCTCCTGTGTCTCTCCAGGAGTGCAGAGTTCTGGGGATCCCGTGGTGGCCACCCCTCCCTCCCTTCAGGCCCTACATGAGCAGCAACACCTGAAGTCTCCATCCTGTTACCCTGCCTTATTTTCCTTAGAGGGACCTGACGCCCACATCAGGCTCATAGCCTCATGGATTGCGGGTCCTCCCGAACTGAAGTGGAAGGGTCTTTGCTGGCGTCTCCCACACAGAGACCAGGGCCTGGAATGCACCATAACTGCTAAAGAAATATTTGCTGGCTGGCTGAACGAATAAATGAATGAATGAATGATTAAAAAAAAAAAAAAGCAATGCTTTTGCCTCAGTCTCCCAAGTAGCAAGAACTATAGACGTGCACTACTATTAGGTACATACATAATTCAACAATTTTTTTTTTGTAGGGATGGGGTGTAGCTATGCTGTTTAGATTAGTCTTGAATTCCTGAGCTCAAGTGATCCTCCTGCCTCAGCCTCCCAAACTGCTGGGATTACAGGTGTGAGCCACTTCACCTGGCTGGATTGTTTTTTAAATATTTTTTTTCCATAATAAATACTCAGAAAAATTAGAAAATTCAAAGATTTAGAAGATTTAAAAGGCCGGGCGCGGTGGCTCACGCCTATAATCCCAGCAGTTTGGGAGGCTGAGGCGAGTGGATCACGAGGTCAAGAGATCGAGACCATCCTGGTCAACAAGGTGAAACCCCCTCTCTACTAAAAATACAAAAATTAGCTGGGCATGTTGGTGCGCGCCTGTAATCCCAGCTATTCCGGAGGCTGAGGCAGGAGAATTGCTTGAACCCAGAAGGCGGAGGTTGCAGTGAGCCGAGATCGTGCCATTGCACTCCAGCCTGGGTAACAACAGCAAAACTGTCTCAAAAAAAAAAAAAAAAGATTTAAAAAATCTTAAAACCTATTCTAAAGTCTTAACTCCCAAAGGCAATCAATAATAATATTTGGGTGTAATTCCTTTCAATCTTTTCTTCTATGTATATTTCTTTTTCTTTCTTTCGTTTTTTTTTTTTTTTTTGAGACAGAGTTTTGCTCTCTCACCCAGGCTGGAGTGCAATGAATGGCATGATCTCAGCTCGCTGCAACCTCTGCCTCCCTGGTTCAAATGATTCTCCTGCCTCAGCCTCCTGAGTAGCTGGGATTACAGGTGTGCACCACCATGTCCAGCTAATTTTTGTATTTTTACTAGAGGTAGGGTTTCTCCATGTCGGCCAGGCTGATCTTGAACTCAACCTTAGGTGACCCACCCATCTCAGCCTCCCAAAGTGCTGGGATTACAGGCATGAGCCACCACTCCCAGCCCTATATATATATTTCTTTAAACATTTTTTTGTGATCATGCTGTATATACAATTTCCTTTAATTTAAAAATTTAACTGTCTTTTCATGTTATATACTCTGACCATGAGGCTGTAACTGTATGTGTGTTTCCTTACTGTTCCACTCTGACCTGAATACCTTTAACTAGATACCCATCTAGGGGCACGTAGGTTGTTTACCTTTAACCTTTTTTCTCCGTTATAGATGACACTACATCTACAATTCATTGTTTCTTCCACCACTGCTCATTGACTACAGAAGAAAAAAGTTCTTCATCTTTGGCTTGGAGACTGGGCCTCCGTATAATCCTGAGTGGAACTTATGAGGATGCTTGGATTCCTGTGTCTGTGACTCTGTGTGGAGGTCTCTTTCTGTTGGAGCATGAGTAGCTGATTGTGGGGTGTTCAATAAATGCTAAATGATGACAAGGTATGTATATATTTTTGTTCACGTACCTTTCCCTGTGTCCCTGGTTTTGTTCTTGTATATTTAAAGTGGGTGTTGTCTTTGTGCAAAAACTATAAATACAGTAATTTCATAAATATGCAAGTCTGTGTCTCTATGTCTGTAAATACAGTGTGTACCTTTGCTCAAGATGAGTATATGCTTGTGTATCCATGTCACATGTGTCATTAGAAGTGTGTATTATAGGCCAGGCATAGTGGCTCACATCTGTAATCTGTGAGCACTTTGATTACAGATGTAATCCCAGCAGTTTGAAAGGCCAAGGTGGGTGGATCACCTGAGGTTGGGAGTTTGAGACCAGCTTGACCAACATGGAGAGACCCCATCTCTACTAAAAGTACAAAAAATTAGCTGGGCATGGTGGCACATGCCTGAAATCTCAGCTACTTGGGAGGCTGAGGCAGGAGAATCACTTGAACCTGGGAGGTGGAGGTTGCTGTGACCTGAGATCGTGCCATTGCACTCCAGCTGGGGCAACAGGAGCAAAACTCTGACTCAAAAAAAAAAAAAAAATGTGTATTATAAGGCCAGGCTCAGGTGGCTCACACCTGTAATTCTAGCACTTTGGGAGCCTGAGGCAGCTGGATCACCTGAGGTCAGGAGTTCAAGACCAGCATGACCAATATGGTGAAACCCCGTCTCTACTAAAAATATAAAAATTAGCTGGGCGTGGTGGTGCATGCCTGTAATCTCAGCTACTTGGGAGGCTGACGCAGGAGAATCACCTGAACCCGGGAGTTGGAGGTTGCAGTGAGCCGAGATCATGCCACTGCACTCCAGCCTGGGCGACAGAGCAAGATTCTGTCTCAAAAAAAAAAAAAGAAGCATTTATTATACACAACCATATATGTTTATCTATGCCTGTGTGTGTACATCTGGGTTGGGCTTCATTTTTGGGGGCAGTGTGTCTGCGTCTGTGTATACCTCTATTGGTCACGGTGGTTTTCGTTTCTTGGGGTGGTGTGTCTGCATCTGCGTGTACTTCATCTCTGTGTGGATCTCTCTGTCTTTGTACATGTTTGTGCTGGGTGTGTATGCTGGGACTGGGCTGGTGTGAATGTGAGTGTGTGCACACCTGAAAGAGCTGTGTCCTTGCTTTCTCCCTGGGAGCAGAGTGGTGCCCAGGGCAGAGGTGACGCACCGTCCCTGAGCTCCCCATTCTCCTGGGAACGAACTACAGAGAATGAGACCGAGAGCAGACTGCGTCAGAAGCACCAGCCCCTTCTGTAACCAGCCCAGGCCTCAGGCAGTAACTGCGGTTCTCACAGGTCAGACCTGCCCACTGTGTCTCAGCTGCCAGGAAACCCTGTTCCCAGCGCCCTCCTTGGGCCTGGGCCAGATCCCCAGTGAGCGGAACCCAGCCAAGGGGCCACATTAGTCACCCTGTGGCAACAGCAGGGAGTAATTCCTGGGCTCCTTTATGCAGCAATGCAGCGGCCACCTCACATCCTCCACTCTAATACATCCTTACAACTCAACTCCAAGATGCCAGACGGCAGCTTTTTTTTTCTTTTTCGAGACAGAGTCTCGCTCTGTGGCCCAGGCTGGAGTGCAATGGCGCAATCTCAGCTCACTACAACCTCTGCCTCCTGGGTTCAAGCAATTCTCCTGTCTCAGCCTCCCAAGTCGCTGGGATTACAGGCATGCCCCACCATGCCTGGCTAATTTTTGTATTTGTAGTAGAGACGGGTTTCTCCACGTTGGTCAGGCTCGTCTCAAATTCCCAACCACAGGTGATCCACCTGTCTCGGCTTCCCAAAGTGCTGGGATTACAGGCGTGAGCCACCACACCCAGCTTCTTTGTTTTGTTTTTGAGACAGGGTCTCACTCTGATGCACAGGCTGGAGTGCAGTGGTGTGATACTGCAGCCTTGACTTCCTGAGCTCAGGGGATTCTCTCACCTCAGCTCCGAGTACCTGGGACTACAGGCATGCACCATCAGGCCCAGTTAATTTTTGTAGTTTTTGTAGAGACAGGGTTTCACTATGTTGCCTGGGCTGGTCTCGAACTCATGAGCTCAAGTGATCTGCCCGCCCGAGACTCCCAAAGTGTTGGGATTATAAGTGTGAGTCACCATGCCCAGCCGGACGGCTTTTATTAGCACCAGTTTTCAGATAAAGCAACATGACCAACATTAAGGCAGGGCTGGGTCTTGGTCCCAGGTTTCCTGATACTGGGTCCAGGCCTCTTTCCAGTGTCCCATATGGGGTTCTGCTCCCCGGAAATGGTTCCCTTAGAGGGCAACAGTGGGAAGCACGGTTTCGGTGGCTCACTAGGTTGTCCTAGATGGGGGAATGAGGGAGCTGGAGACAGGACGGGTGTCAGCACTGAAGAGGTCTGCCCTCCTACTGCAATGTAGACTTTCTCCATGAACAGAGGCTTAAAGTGTTGATCCCATAATGGGATGACCATGGAATTCACTGTCAGATGATTTAGTAACTGAACAGGAGCTCTATCAATAACCTGGGTTTATGGTCACCATACCCGTAACCTCTCTGGAAGGCAGACTCAGTCAATGTCACCAGCTCCATGTCTCCTTGACCCTCACCTGTGCCAGTGTCCCTCTCCCCACCTGGTATCCAGACAAATCCCTGGCTTCTTAGCAGTGAGGGGGCAGGAGGGGCATTTTTGGGTCCAAGGGTGGGCATAAGGTTTCCTTGGGGTAACCTGGAGATTCAGAAAAGCAGCACAGACCCCACCCAGGGACCCCTGACGCATGATCATTTCTCCCCTCAGACCTGTGTTCCCTGTGGCCGGTTCCACTGCTTCTGCCCTGTCTTCCCTCAGAGCCCCGAGCCAGTAAGCAGAGCCTGTCCCTGCAGGTGTCTCTCCAGGGGCAGTGAGAGCCCTCTCCTTGTGAAACAGTGGCCCCTCGATTCCTGAGACTGTGTACATATATCTACCTCTGCTCCCCTTGCCTCCCCCAGCAAACAGGCTGTGAGCTCGGCTGACCACCCTCTCTCTCACAGGGCCTCAGAGACTCAGACTCTTGTTCCAGCCCCATCCTGACTTGCTGGGTGGCTTTAGCAAATTACCGCCTTCATCCTCATCTGAGTTCCTCCTGGTTGTGAAGTGGAACTGATACTCTCTGCTCCTCCCTGGCTCCCAGCGGATCTGCTGGAATAAGCAAGATAATAGCCGGGAACTAATGTGGAGGGAGCTATCAAGAGCCAAGTAAGAGGTATCAGTGCTGACCCGTCTTTACATGGGTGTGGACCTTTGGTTCCCAGCCTCCTGGGGCTTAGGACCAGCCCTGACAGCTTCTTGGCTTGTGGCTTCTTTGTCCCACTTCCAGAGAAATGACAGAAACTGAAGCTAAGAGCCTGGTGTCTGGAGCAGATGAGACTTGCAGAGCCACAGGGTTTGAGGCTCTGGAATGCTGACCTCCTGACCTGGCTATGTCCCTAGCCACTGAGTGTGTGACCTTGGGCCAGTCACTGCCCCTCTCTGGCCCTCAACCTCTCAGCTATGGTAGCCTCCATCCGCTCTATACTCAGAGGCCCTCCTAGAGGCTGTAATTGGAGGCCATGGATTGGGGATAGAAAGGATCTTGACATCTAGTCCAGCTCCTTTATTCTTCATAGACCTATGGGCTCCTCTTTGGGGGCCACAGACTAACTCCATGGTCAGCCTGGTTAACCTAAGGTCGTAAACTAGTCACAAAGTGCATCATGTAGACTGTGTGCAGCAGCTCACACCTGTAATCCCAGCACTTTGAGAGGCCAAGGCAGGTGGATCACTTGAGGTCAGGAGTTCCAGACCAGCCTGGCCAACATGTATTTTTGTCTCTATAAAAATACAAAAATTAGCTGGACATGGTGGCGGGCACCTGTAGTCCTCGCTACTCGAGAAGCTGAGGCAGGAGAATGTTTTTTTTGTTATTGTTGCTGTTGTTGTTGAGACGGAGTCTCACTCTGTCACCCAGGCTGGAATGCAGTGGCGCGATCTCGGCTCACTGTAACCTTTGCCTCCTGGTTCAATTCTCTGCCTGAGCTGCCTGCTCCTGCCCGGATCAGACTTCCACCTTGCTCATTGTCTGAGATGGCCAGGGCCTCCTCATCCCCAGCCTGGCAGGGTTCAAAAGCCCTGGCTTCCCTGCCTTCTGCAGGCCCCCTTTCCTACATCCTTACCTTCTGCCCTCCTCCTCCCGACTGCCCGCTGATCCTGTCCTCTGTTTCTCTCTCACAGTAATCTCCCTGACTCTTTTGCTTCAGCCTTACATGGCTCACTCCCTAATCTAAGAGCCCAGGCTCCTCAGTTATGGAGCCTGTGGAGTCTCCCCAGGATGTATGGGCAGCCAGAGCTGCCGGCAGGGCCCAAAGACTGGAACACGTATGTGTTTCTGCCTTGCTTCTGGCCCTCTCTTATGTTCCATCTTGCTTTTAAAAAAAAATTCTTCCCGGGAATGGTGGCTCACTCTTGTAATCCCAGCACTTTGGGAGGCCAAGGTGGGCAGATCACCTGAGGTTGGGAGTTTGAGACCAGCCTGATCAACATGGAGAAACCCTGTCTCTACTAAATATACAAAATTAGCCAGGCGTGGTGGTAGTACATACCTGTAATCCCAGCTACTCAGGAGGCTGAGGCAGGAGAATTACTTCAACCCAGGAGGAGGAGGTTGCTGTGAGCTGTGATTGCGCCATTGCACTCCAGTCGGCGCAACAGGAGTGAAACTCCGACTCAAAAAAAAAAATTCTGGTTTCCTATGATCCATGTAGAAGAAGGAAAAGAAGAAAAGGAAAAAATTTTTTCTACTTTTACCCAGGTTATTTCATAATTTATAGACCCTTTTAAGCTGTCTTTAGTTCTTACCCTGTAAGGCAAGACATAAGCAAACAAAGGCTAAATAACCAATGACAAAATCAATAAAGCCAGTCTCCATCTGGTGCTGGGCAGCCCCTCGTCTTCTGTCTGATTCCCATGAAACTGCCCCATCCCTGTTTCTGTTGGTGGCATTGCCACCGGAGTCTGAAGTGGCTTTCCCCCCCTCCACATCTCCAGAAGCTTTGTCTCCTTCTCCATCATTGTCTCACCCCATCTCAGAGCTTCATGTTTTGGTGATTTCTTTCTTTCTTAAATATATCTGAGGCCGAGCAAGGTGGCTCATGCCTGTAATCCCAGCACTTTGGGAGGCCAAGGCAGGTGGATCACCTGAAGTCAGGAGTTCGAGACCAGCCCGGCCAATGTGATGAAACCCCCATCTCTACTAAAAATACAAAAATTAGCCAGGCTCTGGTGGTGGGCACTTGTAGTCCCAGCTACTTGGGAGGCTGAGGCTGGAGAATAGCTTGAACCCCAGGGGGTGGATGTTGCAGTGATCCGAGATCGTCCCATTGCACTCCAGCCTGGGCAACAAGAGCGAAATCCATCTAAAAAAAAAATATATATATATATATATGAATACTTATGAAAGCAATAGATTTTTTTTAAAGCAATAGATATTCATTGTAGAAAATAGAAAATGCAAGTTGACAAAAAGAACACAAAAATCATCTGTAATGTTACCAGTGAGAGATAACACTATGGTCATTTGGGTTAATATCCTTTTCTATTTTTTTTTTTTCTAAACATATATCCTTGAAAAACCAAAAAAAAAAAAGCAACTCCACCACAATGGGTGTCTCTATTTCTTCCCCAGTCAGTTTTCCTGGTTCTGGGCTTCTCTGATACAATCCCCCGCCCCCTCCCCAGGAGCCACTGCAGGTGGGGACCCTCAGAGAGCATGTGGGAAGGCTTAGGAAACTCCCGGGCTTCCGGGTTTGGGGCTTCCAGGTGGAGCTATTGACAGCATTCTCTCCCCCGGGGAGCTTAAAAGCACCTTCCCAGGCTTTAGTCCTGCTGTGGTTGGGTGGGGAAGGGAGTGGTCTTATGCAATAGGGCAAACCAGTCCTCACTCAGGGCTGTTTATTTAAGTGGGCAGGGATGGGTTTGGGAGAAACAACCCAGATTTTGTGTTTACTTGAACTGTTGGGACCAATAAATTTTGGAGACAACTACCCAATATAGGGAAGGTAAGATGGGTCATAAGGGATAAAACGCTGGGGGTTCCAGAGGCAAATGCCTAGAGGTCCCAGGCAAGCACCTAATCCTGCAGGGGGTTCGGGGGCACTGTGAATGGGTTAGTGCCTGCCCAGCTAAAGAGGACCCTGGGCTGGGCGCAGTGGCTGACGCCTGTAATCCCAGCACCTTGGGAGGCCGAGGCGGGCAGATCACGAGGCCAGGAGTTTGAGACCACTCTGACCAACATGGTGAAACCCTGTCTCTACTAAAAATACAAAAATTAGCCAGGCATGGTGGTGGCGCCTGTAATCCCAGCTACTGCGGAGGCTGAGGCAGGAGAATTGCTTGAACCCGGGAGGCGGAGGTTGCAGTGAGCCGAGATTGCACCACTACACTCCAGCCTGGGCAACAGCACAAGACTCTGTCTCCAAAAAAAAAAAAGAGGACCCTGAACTCTGCCTGGATTGCCAGGTCCCAGGAGTTTTCACAAGAAGCTAGCAATGTGAATTTTTTTGTCAATGAGGCCTTCTCTTTAAATGCTGGCAACTAATTAAACAAATTAAGCCACAATTTGAGTCAAAGCATGATTGCAGGCTGCCAGTGTGCAACCTCTGACTAGCCTTCACCAGAGATCTGTGCGCTTCACACAGGTTCCCTCGCCTAATTTACTTGGTGTTGCTTCCCTCCCTCTGTCCCTCTCCTTGTGCTCTGACTTCTGGTGATGCTGGTGATGTAGCCTGCTTATCTGCCCACTCTTTTTTTTGAAACCGAGTCTTGCTGTGTTGCCCAGGCTGCAGTGCAGTGGCGCAATCTCCGCTCACTGAAACTCCACCTCCCGGGTTCAAGTGATTCTCCTGCCTCAGACTCCAGAATAGCTGGGACTACAGTCCTGTGCCACCATGCCTAATTTTTGTATTTTTAGTAGAGACGGGGTTTCACCATGTTGGCCAGACTGGTCTTAGGTGATTCGCCCACCTTGGCCTCACAAATTGCTGGGATTACAGCATGAGCCACCGCACCCGGCCATCTGC